CTTCACTTTCCACTTTCTTTATTGTACATATTTGTATTCAATCTCTTTATTACCATCTCCACCCCAGTTTATTCTATAAAATTAATCATTATGACCCTTGTCGTTTTTCGTTGTCTTTTGTATAGTATTTGTCTACCTAATAGAATTCCCTTACTTATACTACTTTTTAGTATAGTAGTATAGAGGTTTATTGGAGTTTTGTATAATATTCGATTTCTAGGCGAATTATATTCAAACTTATTTCAAAGGAGCATTCTCAGTCCTACTAATTATTTATTTCTTTAACTATGTACTCTAATTCGTATTACTGATTTATACTATCTCATATAATTGGTTTTGAATATAACACTACCGGTTCATCTTTGGTTATTCCTTTCGCTATTGATTTTGTTTGCGCCGTCAGGTATCTTATTTTACCTTGATTACGTTTTTTAACTGACGTTTCTTAAATTCTCTGGGAGTTTGCCGGTTATTCTGTCTTTCATCAAGCTTTAAAATGTGCTTTTTTGTTGGCCTAGTTACACACGTTTAAATTATTTAGTAGTCAACCACTTGTACTTGTAAATTATTTGAGCAATGACTGTGATTATATTTTTGCTTACAAAATGTGGAGTGTATGCATGAATGTGTTGTTTATTTTATAAGTAAGTCTGTTAAATCAACTTAGGGTTTTTTTGAGTGAAAGTTTTTTATATACACTTTATGATTATTTATCACCTTTTAAAACAAACATTTCTCGTTTTATGCAAAATAGAGAATCCACCATTGTAAAGAATTGGTGTATTTTTAACATTTACTTCGGTCACACGTTAATGATATTTCAGTAATATCGGTTTTCTTAAAATATTCTTCGCTTACTTTGCTGGTTTTATGCATTCACTTTCATATTAATTATTTTTTGCTTTGTAAATGAAATTATTGCAAGGCAGATGGGTTTGTTAAAAATATACTTTTTTTAAAACGTGGATTAATGGGTCTTTTTTGAAAAAAAATCTGAAAAAGAACAAGCTATGGCTATTCGAAAATCGCTGATTATTTGCCATCCAAAAGACTCTTCACTGACTATAGCCAATTGTTCACTTGTCTGACAACTTGTAATACTATGAATCTACCATAGTGCTCCCACCTTCCATCTTTAAAGTTATTTGCCTGAAATCGTACTAAATAGTGTTTACTGGAATCTTTTTTCCTACATTGTGAACCAACTTGGATAGTAGTATCTTTGACTGAATTTCCTAAGTTTGTCGAAATCTGTGTCAGTATAGTTTTATGTGATGTGTGTATATTTTGTAATATTCCCCTTAATTAATTCAGTTGCTGTATTCACAGACCTAAAGTTTTGTTGTGAATATCAATAACACTCGATCAGTATTTGCAGTTTATTCGATTCATAAAGTATTTTAACTGCAACGTTAAGGCAAAGTAGAACTGAACTTCGAATTGAAAATGCTTTCTCAATTTCTTTGCGACCTTTTTATCAGGGCTAACACAATCAGTGAAATATACAGAAAATATAGTAAACTGTATTTTATCATTCATTTTACTAACTGTAATGCATATATTATATGAAAAGCTTAGGTCCTCATCAAAGGTTAGGTAAATGATCTTATTTAATTCTATGTGAACTACTCAGTTGTCATTTGAGAACTCTACGTTAGATAAACTCGTCATAGGTACATTGACTTAATAGGAAAATTTATTTCAAGTATAATGCAGCGATAGGATAAATTTAAAGTAAGTGAGAAGAAAGTATGTAGAAAATTCATAATCGATACTGAGGCATACAAACAAGATTCCAAATCGCATAACTGTTAGAAATCTAAGTTTAAGAGTGTATGGAATAAAGTTACCATTATATTAGGAATTTCTAGGTGTGGTTGAAAGTTAGGACAAACATTTTTTTAGACATAAAGAACGGTTAAATTTTCTAATGGTTACAGATTTCACAAACTTTGACGATTTCTATTTGAGCATTTAAAGGTTATTTTTGAATTAAACCCTTGACCTGCTTTACTCTACAGAAGCTTAATTGCTAAGTCCCTGAAAAAATGACCCTGAAGTTACTTTAGCACATTTGCAGTTACCTTCAAAACAGATCATATGTTCATAAACATGTAGATTTATAAGCTTAAAATATATGATTTAATCATGTATCCGCTATTGTGGTTTATGTGAAATTCTGGATTTAATTTTCGCGATGAATAATAATGCGGGAGTATAATATATCCACTAACTGGTTATTTTCAGCCAGCGTTTCAAAGTTATACTGTTAGATTTTCTCGAAATCTATGGGAACGACTTTTTATAGCCGCTATTTTGCTTATTTCTGCCTTTAAATGTGTATGGGTAAGGGTGTTACTTGATTGTTCACATTTATTGGCAAATGAAATTGAATTATTACCGATCGCAATTATTATTCTGGATATTCGAAATCTTATGTAGCCCGCTAGACAGGGTTTTTCTGTTTCCTATGGATTTTTTGGTTTGAAAAAGTATATTTTGCACTTTCAAACCCTCAAACTGGTATTCCGATGCACTTAATAGTACCATCTTTAGGCAAATTAATAACAATCCGTTTAATCGAGTAAATCATGAAATAGAAAGGCCTTCCCTTTATTAATTGACTACTGATTTACATTCATTTTTTCACGTGAAGTATTTGACAATGAATCATTTCTTGTAAGCAGAGAATCAGTGAAACTAAATAAAAATTATTATATCGTCATCGAAATACAGAAATGTATGTACTTCTTAACGTGATGATAGTGTACGTTTGCAATCTACAAATGCGTGTTTTTAGCCATAGTGAAAATCATGAATCTTCAGTTACCTTTATAAATGGAAGCATTATATTACGGTTTCGTAATCAAACATTGTCCGTCTTCCTCAGTGACAGGCATTACCTTAATCAACTTTTTTTTGGAAAATTCGTTTATTTTGAGGCAAATACGGAGAATTTAAGGGTGAATATTGTAAAAGATGTTGAAGTGTTAACATTAAAGGTTAAAATATAGTATTACTGCAGTGCAGACTTTAGCAGTTTCGCAACATAATACTTCTTAGTGTCCATGATGTCAGTCAAATTTTTTTAAAGTTTATAGTCACTAAGCCTTCGAACCGACCGGTGTTCAAGTAAGAAGATTAAGTATGACTAGCAAGCATTAGTGACAAACCGAATTATTTGCGCACAGTCAGAGCATATTTAGATGTGTCTGAACCAACAAAATATATTTAGCATTGACCCTGGTTGGGTGAACTCACACCACTGACCTGCCATGCCTGTAATTGTCACCTACAACTGGACTTAGGACATTTAATCACCCTGACTTTAGCAAATTATGACACATCTGGCCTGTCACTCAAAGGTTAAACTATATTCAGAATCAAGTGAATAATACTCAAAAAGTACTAGAATTGAAATTCTCAGATTAGTAAGATATAGATCGTTGATTGGAAATAAGTTAACGCTGAAGTTTATACATACTCTGATATTAAAAAGAAGAAAGATTTATAATTCACTAAAGCCTAATCAACAACAAATCACTTAGATTTGACCAGAAACAGTTAATGTTTGGGTCAGAGAAGGTTAAGTCACAATAAGACAGTTACCTGCTTTTCCTATGGATTTGAAACTTTATTGTCATATGCTGTAAACTAACATTAAAAATATCTGAATATCGTCGACCAACAAAAGTCTAACAGGTTTGTCATTTGTTGTATCCCGAAGAGAATTATAGACAGATTACGCACATGGCTGCTTTGGAGATGTGACGTAAGTTAATTAATTAATTTCTAAATTGCATACAGAGCTGGAAATTGATTGAAGAATAAATGTGTCGGTGAAAGCCTACATGAATCTTTGGAAATCAGTAATTTCAACGAAACAGTAGCAGTCGTACATGATCCACATAGTGGTCCAGTAGTTTCCATTTCAGAAACATGCCCTGTAGTGGGCTTGAATCCCATTACCCCCGAAACACAATGTACAAGCAGTGACTTGTTTAGCTCACAGAAAGACGGTGTCTTGTTAAATGATCATGAAATTGTTGTAGTACCCGCCCACGAAGAACCAGAAAATAATGAATAGATACATAATAAATACAGTTGCACTAAATGGAGCACATCATTCTACGACAAAACATTCTCACAAGTCTACTTATCGGAATTTTCTAGTTGTTTTACCAGATATGGGTTATCCTAATAAATCATATGTTCTTGATGAAGTTTCTTACAAAAGTGGAAAAAATATGTTGGATGCATCAAATGGTGATCAAGAACCTAATTCAATTTTGATAGATACTGATTTTCTTAGTAAATTATTTAATGCAGGAAATATATTTTAAATAGAGTCACATTATTTGTAACTTAGGGAATCGAGGATCCAACACTATTTCACGGAGGAGAATAAGGTCAGGAAATTTACAATCTCCCACATTCACAGCCACTTTTGGCTAGATATTGTACAAATGTTATTTTCCATTTTGTGGTACGATATGGTCTGTATATAAACCCAATATGTTTGAAATACATTATTCATATCACAGAGGCTGAGATTGGTATTCTGAAATCAATAGTCAAGGATAGGAAGAAAGAAGGACCGATAAAGACTCTAGACTGCTTGTACGGGTTTTATGTGTCATTGGTCCGGTCTATTAGCCACTATTCTCTAATTGGTGGTATCATGACACTATATATGAATAGGACACGAAGGCATAAGTTATAACACATCAATAACCGATCATCCTTTGTATTTAAAGTATTATTATTTAAATGTCTGAAAATTATCTTTTTGAAAGAAAGCATTGGTAGTAGTAAAACAGGAAGTAATGAAAAATTTACACCAAACTATTAAAGAGAACTCAATGCATATATATATAGTTTACTTTACATTTATTACGTTAAACGCCAACAATTTTGTTTTTCTTAGTTTAATAAAAGAAAAACTTGTTGGATATTTGTCCAACTTTCAATGTCATAAGATTTTAAACAAAGAAAGTAGGCTTAATTATGTAATTTGTAAATCTGAGATGAATAATATTTTATTGGATTGTTATAGGATCAGCTGAATTACGTGGATCACGCTTTTGAGTTGTTTGTGTATTAATTCGATACTGTAAAAAAAAGAGAAATTATTCGATTAGCTGAAAATTGGAAATTAAAAAAAGTCAAATTCATAATGAACAATTGTAGTTAATACAAGAATTGTTATGTTATCCCATCATTTCAGTCTGCTTACTGATGCACAATCTTTCCATACGCGAGCTCAACTAGTAATTTAAGTGAGAAAAGGAAGATTGAGCTGAACAATCTTATTAGCTAAACCAAGTCCGGAATATATATCCAACTCAATCATAAATGTATATCTTTTACCCTTAGAAGATAAAGCTACATTTTTGACTAACAGCGTATGCCTCTAACGGTGACCAGATGGATACAAAGGTAGGAAATATTTGGTTTCGACCTCTTATTATGTTTCTTGATAATTCTAAATATATTGCCAACTAGATAGAATGTTTATAACAGAAATGACTTCTTCGAAATATCCCAATGAGTACAAATACAATTTTTCAGTGTTTAATGATCATGTTGAAATCCTTTTTCCAGAAGAAAGACAGTGCATTCAAAGAAACGTGAATTTAATCAATGAAGGGAACAACTAAACTAGAAATATTTGAAAATATAATCATACTGTAAATTGAACGTTTTGTCAAACACATCCAAACAAGTAAGAATATGCATAAAAAGTGAATCAGATATAATTATCTTTAACAAATATGATAGTAATATGCTTAGAACGGTCTGTATTTTTAAATGTTTTTATCCGAATAATGTTAGTATTCTCTTAGTCGACTAAAATGTGTATTTATTCACTAAATAATTGTCTTGAGAAAAGCTGAAAAACTGAGGAAACCCGTATTGGTTATTGTCAACTACTTTTGAATGTCTAAAGAACCTACCTCCTTCATCGAAGATATATTCGTTTGCTACCTAATTACCTAAATTGAAATGACTTTCTGAATTTCCAATGATATGTCTTACCATGACAGTTAATAATTTGAACCATGGCAGGAGTGTAAAAGCCATTTCTAATGGCAGTGGATGATAATCGCACTATATCGTGAAGTACATAGAGTCAGAAATGTGCACCGTTGAATAAAATTCTGGAAGCCTAAAAGTTAACTATTCATTACGATTCCTGAAGACCCTGGGTAAGTCCACTGGTGAAGTTATCAACGCTCACCACTGAAGAGTCTAGCACCAGTACGAAACAGCTGTCCCGTTTCTCCTGGTCTTCAATGATATCCCAACTGAGGCCATTCAGTGAAGAACACCGCATTGAAACTGTTTTCTAATGGGAAACCTTAACAGATAGTATTGATAAAACAAATGAAATACTTACACCTTTAGGTTTTTTTCGTGTACTATGACGAAACAACGAAACTGTTCTTTTAACAAGTGGCCTGTCTTCTTCACGCATTGCCATCCATGGATGACTTAAACACTGATGTACTGATGGTCTTTTTCTTGAGTAATATAGAAAAACCATAGACGTGGAAGTTTGATTAAACAATTGTTAAGTGTGAAGGATTATGAAACGATATAAAAAGTTTAAGATAATAGAAACTCGTGTTTTACGTTTTTCACACAATCAGATTTTAAATAAACCACTTTGGAAGTTAATAAACGTTTCTAGAGAATACTTTTCTTCCAATGAGCGGCACATTTTTAATCTTGACAACTAGCAGTTATTCAGTTGAGAGATCTAACTTCAAAGTACTTTGAAATTAAAGTGAATAATAGATCTGCATTTATCACAAGCTAAATGAGTATCAGTTACTCAAGATTTGGATGAAAAAAACGTGTGCTATTTATAGGGAGCTGTTTAGACTAACGGGAAAACAAATAAGATAATGGTAGTTCAGTGATAACTTGTCAAATCAAGAAGTTATCTATGATTTCTTGATAGCAAAAATTAAATGCTTTGTGTATGTGTTCTTAGCATATCTGTATCTTGAGAGGTTTGATTTCTGTTCATGTGTCACAAATGGAAGGAAATGTTCATCTTTGATTCGACTACAAACTATTAGAAAGATAATATTTTAAATTATCAATCATTTTGTCTAGACATTAGAAACTAGTAAATGAATTAATAAGATTATTACCAATATTTTTATTGAGATCATGAAGCGAACAATGTAAGACCACCACTGAAAGCCCAGAAGAACTGGATGGCCGCTTTGTACTATTATGGAACTCTTCAGCAGTGGACATTCACTACCCCGCATGTGCGACTGGAATCCAGGACCTTCAGTCGGTAATTTCCTCAAATACCCAGTGGTCTGGAGGTTGATCAATCGCGCAAGACTGAATGTCTTGTGGGATCATTGATACTCGCTGCTGATAAGTCCCATATGAAGAAGAAATGGTCATCTAGTTCTTCCTAGTTTTCAATAGTGGTCTAACCTTGATTGATTCATGAGCTCAATAAAAATTCAACAATCTACACAACTGCATTCTGATTACTACCGATATATTTGATCCTTGTTTTCATTTACTCTTTGGCTTAGTAATTACACTTTTAAAATTACAAAAAATAAAAATGTAAATACAACATAGATTTTTAAAAAAAAATGAATTATTAAATCCGATAAACTAAACTTCTTCATTTTTGTTCATTAATTAAGTAATAGCGATTTTTCCAACAAAAAAAATATTCTCACATCTAAATTATGTGACCGATAGATTTTCATTGAATATCATATTATTATTATTATTTAATTATTAATTTATTCTTTTCAAAAGTGTAATAATACAGGTCATATAATCTTACTAAATGTTGATTAGAATGATTAGTTCGTGTGAACAATAATTTATTGATTCGAAGAGAAAGATTTTATATTGATAAGTTTTTAGATTAACTGTATAGGAAATATTCGAATTGAAAGCGATATCTATATTGAAGATTTTATCATTTTCAAGTGTCATTGATATACTGAACAACTAATTAATTTTATCAGTAGTAAGTTTTGGATATTACAGAATTTCATTAGAATTGTGAACCGATATAAATTATTTGATTGAAATCATGAGTTAATTGAAGCTAGATCACCATGGAAAACCTGGAAGCACTGGACGGCCGTTTCGTTCTAGTATGGGACTCCTCAGCAGTGCGCATCTACGATCCTGCACCGCGCGAGATTCGAACCCAGGACCTATCAGTCGGGCGCCAGACGATCTAAATTAGACAATCACTGAAAATCTGGAAGCTCCAGTTAACTGTTTCATCCTAATATGGTACTCTTCGGCAGTGCACATTCAAGAACTTGCATAAGAGAATCAAATCTAAAGCCTTCAGTCTCTTACGTGAACGTTTCATCACTATATTGCTGAGCCGGCATTCAGCGGTGTTAATGTCTAACTTCAGTCAACACACAATACTGTTCGACTATCTTCTGTTACATTCGGTGGGTGACCGCCTCGCACCTCAAACTGTTTACCTACACTGGTCACAAGACGGAGAATATTTTTCTCTAGAGGGAACATTAGTTGCTAATATTTTACAGGTAGCAATACAAATATTTTCTCTTTAGCTTTCATTTCACTTCTAATCCTAGTCAAAGCGAACATTAGGTCCGATTAAGTTTGATCTTAAATCATTACTATTTACTAGGAGTTTACTGACCAAAAATATAAGTTGGAATTTTAAAATTAGCAGGAAAAAAGTGTAACAGTTAAATATCCCAGCACATAATAAAGTGAATAAATAGTTTTAAAAAGCTGCTTTATGTAAGTGACCTAATGTATCTTATTGCTCGATGGCAAATGAGCTTTCAGTCTAGATAACAAAGGTTCTTTTAACATATTCCAATGTTTATTTCTTAGTGATGTTTATTGTATCATATATCGAGGTCGTTAGGAATTAAGATAAAGTATTTGATCTGGTGATTATAAAAGATGAACATTTATGGTAAAGGAAATTAAAACACTGTAACCACTTGTGTCTCTGTATCTAAACAAGAATATTCCCAAGTTACTGAGAGAAGAGTATCGATTACAGATATCCATGTTTTTAAGTGTGTATGTAAAAGGAAATGCAACGAAGAAAGACAATAAAAGTTTGAAAATAATTTCATATATATATATTCTTAATTTGTGATATGAGTTAGATAGTTTTTCGGTTTATTCTACCGATGAAAAGATTCAGGTTACCATATGTGAATGTATCACCATATTGGAAATTGAGACAAATAAATAATCTCATAATCCTAGAATACCAGGCGTGAAGAATTAATGCCTTCGTCCATGGAACTCGATGTCAATATTCACTAATTCATCCCTTCTCTTGATCTGTTTCTACAATGAATCATTTATCTTGAATCAGCGATCATAGAATTAATGTTTAACTGTGTTGGTCAGAATTTGTCCTTCAATACAACTGAACTATCAAATTAATATAATTTCACTATTTCAGTTCACATTGTGTAAACATCAATAGTTATTTATGAATTATTCCATCACATTTATTAAATGAACCTAAATAATCGACATTGGAATATGAAATATGTAAAGATATTTTTGGAAATGAAAGTGTTTGTTCTGTACAAAAGATATTGATACTTCGGTAAACATCAAACAATGGTATATTTTAAAGATATGTAGTGATTTTTTGTAAGCAATGAACGTCATTATCAACTGTGTAAACATGAACTAAAATACTACTTACTTAGGATCTCGAACTAAAATTTGTTTAATAAAGTCTTTCGCCTCGTTCGAAACATCCACTATTCCAGGGTCGTCAAAATCATATCTTACATGTGTAATATTAAGAGATATTTCTTGATTAGTAAGAATTCGATCACGACAACCATCTTGTGGAATTTCAAATGGTGTGATACCTGCAAGACTGTATATAGAAATAAATTATTTATAATAGAAAATTAATGTCCATTAATAAATGTCATATTACCATTATGTTTATGTTGATCGACCTAAACTGCTTTCTATCGTTCCGTAAAAGTATCGAAAATATGAATTTGTTGAACCGATTGTTTATGCAAGTGAACAAAAGAAAATGAAAGTGGTTTATATGCATAACAGATCTATGAAGTTAGACTAGTTAAAGAGTGAATTGGGTATATGGCGAAGTAACCACCTACACAGCCCCCAAATACCCTGGTACGGCCGAGAGTTGGAAGAGTCCTCCCTCTCTCTTGAAATGCTCTCACATGGCCACGCGTATATAGCCTCTGCCAGAGAATTACTACTCACTGCCTTCTCGTGGCTGGAATGTTGTTTACGAAATTGAAAGGAGGAAAACCGAATGTCTAGTGCTTTAACCGGGTTGGTGGACATGGAGAGTACACCTAGGGGAGTTGGAAAACCGTGATTCCAAACCAATGGTGTACATGGGCTCCAGTATCCTAAAGAAACAAATGGCGTATGAACCAATCGTTGGTCACCGGCTACCATGTGACTGTATCTGTTTACGTCGCTCCACTGCCTTTTGGATCAGACGTTCAGGTCGAAGGCTCCAGGTGTGGCCTCGTAAGAAAACCACCTGATTCGGTCTTGGCACCCAGGCATTATCACAGCCCTCACACATATCAAATGAGATTTGTGTGATGCATATGTATTTGGTGCCTCATTGTAGCAATATCTATGTGTTAAAATAAAGAAATAAATAAGCTATAGAGTATGTCTTTCAGCAATTCTTTCCAGGATATATGGACATGTTTCATTCATCCTATTTATGTAAGTAATTTTTCTGGGTTTCAGAGTTAGATATTAAAATAATACCCTTCAATTGCCAAACTAATTTCATTGTTAATCCTAGTGAATGTACATCGATTTATGAATTTCATTGAATACCATCTACTTTAACACCAGTTATTCAAGTTTGTGTCATCACTGACTGAAATAACCATAACTATCTGCTCCAAACATGCTATCTTTCACTTGTGACAAACAAAAAAGATATATTCATAATGGTTTATAGTGTACAGGAGTGTCATTTTAAAGAATACAAACTATGCCATTTTATTTTAGTATCAGGCTAATTCTATCAATAGATTCTGAATCTTTGACCTGCTTGGTTAAAAAATTCACTTCTGTTTTTATTTGGATTTGCATTAAATACTGGTACCCAGCCTATTGTTAGTTTTAGATGAAGGTTTTGGCATAATTAATAAACCATTAGTTGAATTTTTTTCTTAGTCAATTTATTTTGAAAATTTGTTGTAAATAATGACTGGTAAATTAAAACAGATCCGCTGATCAGGTAAAAGTATGTTCCTCATTAATAATGAAGACGGGAAGATATGTAGTGGCATTAGACCATAACCACACAATCCTCAAAGCTGAATACGAGATTACTCGGAAAATAGATATTCAATATTTAACGCGAATAATGAACTGAATAGACTGGAGTTGATCGGATGGCATGGCTCGGCCATGCAGGCGTGGTCCATCTGAATGTTACCTTATATCTTCCATTCATATTAAATATATTGTTCCTTCTCTAGCCTAACCTTGTTCTACATCATGTATTGGTAATTGATACGATACAGTGAGTTGGTGTAGTCGATGGTGTGACTTCCACGTAAGGTCTTATAGATTAGGAAGTTATATCATGACAAATCTACAATTTTAGGATTAGGTCTATTATTAGAGCAGTACTAATATCATAGTAGACCATAATTCTACAGATATGAGTAAGTCTTACTTGCTAGGTTCTTTGTAAATGTCGTCAGTTTATGTGTAATGAATAATAAAAAGTAACGTTAAGTGTGATATGATTAAACCATAGATAACTTTTTGATTTATACGCAAAATATGCACAACAAATCAACAAGATAAGTGAAAATATCGTTTATAAACCTATTAGTTTTTTGTTGTTTAGAAGACATTGTTGGAAATGAAATCCAAGATAATCCTCACGGTGATGTTTACCAATCAAATTTCAAATCTCTTTATTACTTCATGGATCAATTCTTCCTTTTATTAGCTAGTTTTATGTGTGATTTGTATGAGACAATAGTTTAAAATGGTTTAAATAACTTCACAAACTGAACTTGTAATGCTTTTAGTCTCAAATAACCAATTGTCTCATCCTTTACCTAATCATTTTAAGTGTTTGGTTTATTCTTCAGTTTTGATATAATTATTATATTTTTTCATATTTTACTATTGCCTGCAAAAACTGTTCTTTGAGACCGTTTATTTTGAATGAATTGCTAATTTTGAATAATAGCTTCTTTCTTCTTTTACATATTTTTCTATTTCACTATTCACGGTGAGTTTTCTCATTTCATTTGCTGTTTCTTGAAGGATGAACTTCTTACGTGATTCAGAGGGCGTATTTAGAATAGCACACTCCGTGTTTGTGGTTTATTATTGTTTATGTTGCTTAACTCGATTCCCCATTTCGAAACGTTTGCAACGTTATTCATACTACTCATAAGTAGATGCAATTTATCAAGTACAATTCATTGGTCACTAACACAACTATTACGAATTGTAAACCATTATTGTAGTTTCGGAGTAACCTGTAACAGTTTGCGATTAAATCTTTCTTCATGTATTTGGTGAAGGCTTAATGAAGAATGCCAATCAATTACTGTTTGCCTTTAAGCAGACTGGTTTTCTAATTGCTTTTCTGTACTGCACTGTGGAAACAAGATAAAAGTTTCATAGCCTCTAGTAATTAGTAGTGCTGTCGACAGATTTCCTCTGAAACAAATAAAATTTTTATGATTTATAGCTTGGAGCATATAGCTCGAAGTGACAGTTGATGGAGTGAGTACTAGAGTTTTACAAACGTCAGTAATGTTTGTTACAATTTAATGTGTTAAATTGTGTTCTATTTGTAGTGTCAATCATTTCGTGCACATCACTACAAAATGAAAGTAAATTAGTTTTAAACTCACATTTCATATGCAATTACAGCCACACTCCATAAATCTGTAGTGTATGATTGTGGATCACAATTTTGTGTTTCAGGTGCCATATATGTTAATGTACCAGCGGGGATAGGTGTACATTGACTACTTTGATAAAATACAGCAAGACCAAAATCAATAATTTTTAATCGATAACCACTTGCTTGTACCATCATTAAATTCTCTGGTTTCAAGTCACGATGAATCACTGAACAATCTTGTAGGTGCTTTAGACCGAGAAGAATTTGACGAATTATACTCACAGTTATTGCTTCGTCTAAAGAACCTTCTTTTTCAATTCTGTTGTAAAGAGCACCACCTGGAACACTAAAATGATGATAATTAATGTTAGTCAAACAGTATAAACTGATAACTTTCCATCGGTTACTTTCTAGTCAGATTTTACTGCGTTATACAGATAGAGATTTGAATGTCTAGCAATATCTATATAGTAAGGAAACTAAGCATTGTGATAACGTTTATTATTTTCATTTCAGTGTTGATAATCAACTATATTGAGGTAGTATGTGGACACCAGATACAAAATATTTTACTGAAGAGTTAGATTTGTCAATTACAGAATGACTTAAGTAACATTCTTATGGGACGTGTAACATTTAATTAGAATGGGAAAATCCACAAATTAAATCAATATTAAAAGTATATGCTATTTTCAATAAACACCAAACTGATATTAAAAATAGCAAAATAATCCGGAATGCTTTTTTCAGTTATTAGGAGAGGCGAGTAGCTGAAGCGTTTCATGAAATGCTAAACCACTATGTCCTCAATAAGAAAGAATTCTTGATTATTCATTCAACTTAACCAAACATCTACATTTATCCCTAGTCATTTTCCAGACAATCTACATAAACAAACTCAATTTTAACCCCACTACATCATATTATGAATGCATACACTTTTTTTTACTAACCATCATACACACAAATAACTACAGCAATATTTCATACAGAATCATTTTAAACAAAATAAAATGTCATTGACATGTTCAAACCAATTCTGATTTTGGTTATACGGAAAATTTTCTACTTTATTTCCTTTGTACTATTTAAACTTGTGTTCATCCTATTTGGATTATTTATTTACTCTGAAGAATTGGCTTATATCAAGTCACGAAACATTAGAAATACAATTTTTCATTTTATTGAAGATATCACAAAAATGAAATTTCGAATAAATTGATCATTGTGTAGATTATTATAAATAAATAGTATATTTGTAATATCCTAATGAGTAGAAAAATAAGATTTTCTGACGTTTCGTTACTTAATGTAAGCCACTTCTTCAGAGAATAAATAAGCAAATTAAGATTTTTATTGTTCTGTTTGTACTATTTAAACTTGGATTAATTTTAGTTTGGTTATTTATTTTCTGAAGAAGTGACTAACACTAAGTCACGAAACGTCAGAAAATCTAATTTTTCTACTGAATAGGATATTAAAAATCAACTGATTTATTTACATTATATTTTTGTTTAACTAAATATATCAAATATTATGAGATGTGTAGTAAATCCATTTGATTTTTTTTACTTTAAATTCTCTATATGCACACAATTTTCCGTAAATGTAGAAAAAAAATTCTTACAAGTGTGATTATATGTGTAATATCTGCAATAACTTTCGGAAATCATAAAAATTAAATCAATCAGATCAGTATCAGATCAGAATCAGTAGTTACGATATCATGATACAACTGACCATAAGGGACAAGATCAAACTGTTTTAAATAGATTAAACATAATAATCAAGTTGTTTGTAATTAAGAAACAGAATAATCAGCATAAGAGTAACAGTTAAAATAATATTAATCATCATGGTTCAATAATTTTATTAATTGAATTCATGAATCGTTTAAAGCTAGACCATCATGGAAAACCTGAAAGCACCGGACGGCTAATTCGTCCTACTACAATCTCCATAAAATCCTCTTTCTGATAATAATCATCATAAGCTCACTAATGACTGGTTTCAAGAGGTATATCCTGGAGTTCTATTGAAAAGCCTTGACCAGTGGAGATCAACCGGGGCTGTTATGAGAGAGTAACACAATGAAGACAATGGTAGGCGGTGGTGCAATTTCGTGAATTGGTTGAAGTTAGACAGTAACATCGCTGGATGCTATCTCAGTTGTCTAGGGGTAAAGCACTCGTGCGCGAGACCAAAGGTCTTGGGTTCTAGTCGTTCGGGCGGGATCGTGGATACGCACTGGTGAGGAGTTCCATACTAGAACGAATAGGCGCTCCAGTGTTTCCAGATTTTCCATGGTGGTCTAACTTTAATTGACTCATGAATTTAACTATTAAATTAATGCAATTTTTACAAAATCCCTTTCTCAATAATTTTCCTTCGATAGCTAAATTAAGAAAAGATTTAAACGTTTTAATAAATAATACCAGAAATGCTAAGATTAGGTATAGTAGTAACTATAAATTTTTAAAAAGAATGGTAAAAATGTACTACGAAGGTATTATTGTATTCAAATATGAAATGATTATGGAAGTAATCAAAAATCCTTGTAAACGTTATAAGTTAAACAGACAAACAAACAAATACTTAAGGTTTTAAACGCTATTGAAAAGAGGATGAGTTAAAGGTTACAATAAATTAACCACAAATATAGTACAAGGTGAGATGAAATTTTTTTAATTATTCATGTGTTTTATTTGAGATAACGAATTACAGAAGTCTACTATTACTTTACGTTTGTTTTATTACATAATCATAGTTCTAGGAATCGAACTTAATACTTCACGAATTATAGATCTACTAATTTTTTATAAAAGATAATTAACATAAACAACTTACAATTCTGTAATTAATGTACAATGTAAATTATATTCATATGCAGCATGTAAATGAGCGATTTGTGGATGTTTACCAACACTACGTAATATAGCAACTTCCATTAATTCACCTTGATATCGTTTAAGTCGTAAAATTTTAAACTTTTTAGCAGCAAATATACTTCCTGTTTTTTTCTCGAAACATTTCATCACATGTCCATATGTACCACTTGAAAGGAAAAGAATAATCAATTATAAATGAAGACGTTTTATTGTATTGAAGATCATATTTTTTGGAAATAACAAAGTAGGAGAATATATTTTAATGGTTTACTTTTAGATAATATTTCACCATTACTTATTTTGTAAGAATAATATTTATGAAACTTTGTAAGTAATAAATTATTCCATGATTAATGATAAACAATGTCATATTTTATTAAAATCACGAACCGATCTAACTTAGACAATCACTGGAAACCTGATAACACTGAGTAGCCGTTTCGTTTTAGCATGAAACTATTCAAAAGTGCACAAGCACGATCTTGTCAGTGGGAATCGAATCCAAGATCCCCGGTTTTGCGCACTAACACTTAACACTTACATCACTGATCTAGTATTCAGTGGTGTGCAAATCTAACTTAAATCAATCCATGATATTGTGCAAACACCTCTCACTATCTTTGGTTAGCAACTGTCTGATACCTGAAACGATTAAGCTCTACATGAAATGGATTCTTACTAGAACTCCGAAAAATTTCCTCTTGAAGCTTATCTCCAGCTAACACATTTTTCTTGTCCTCAGTTTTGATCAGATTTTGCGTACGAAATCATTGTATAGTTTTCTAAGCGATTTTAAAATTGTAAAGTAGTTCGTATGATATTAGACGGTTAGAGACAATCAATAACAGTCTAGCAAACAAAATACTCCCATTTAATTGAGGATGACTCAGAGAAACGGGGTTGCTTGTAATTCATTGAGTTTTAAATAAAGATGGCCACTCATAGTTGTTAAAATTCCCAAATATCTTATACATAATATTATCATACACTATTTCCTTTTTCCGTAATCCTCGTTCACTATGATGTCAGAGAAACACGAGGCTCACTAAAAAAGTGTCAGTCATCTCTCAATATATCTTGCATGAAGATACCCATTTAATTTACTACAACCAATATTTACGAAAAATAACTCTGAAATACATTATGGTGTAATTATGATTACTTCTGGTACACATACTTGGTGAATTATCCATAAAGTCTCCGTTGTAATCCAATATCAGATTTAAAAGTATTTGTGTGGATACTCCAACTCTACAATCTATATTACTAGCTATTTAGAAAAGAATGTAATATCTACATAACATAAAACTTACAAGTACTTCAGTGAATGCTAATTAAATTTTGGCAATCATAGCTGTTTAACCGAGTTTTTCAATAATTTTTACAGTGCTGTATAGTGCCTAAGACCTTCATTCTATCATAGATACCGCATTCACTAAAACTGGAGTTTCTCCCAGTTACAATACGAATCCATGTTAATTTCATTATTAGAATAAAATGCTCGTACTAATTATAGCTGTCACGTTTGTAACAAAACATCGTAAGTAATAATTAGTAAACTTTGCTTTTTGGTTGTTTATTGAGGCCTACTATCTGAATGTCTTTAAGTGTTGGAATGTTTTATTTAAGATATAAATAAACAAATAAATGTAAATAATTTTCAAAACTTCAGCCTATGAATATCAAGATTTGTGATTGAAGGTTAAATTTATGTTGTATAATCTACAGTGGATCACCATAATTATCGACTTAAAGTATACAAACTAACATAAAGAGATACTATACCGACCAATCATCAGCGATTATTTCTCCATAATCTAGTCAGGTCTACTTTTCATGGATTCCAACTGTATAACTAATTTTCAAAGCATTTGTATATTAATTTAGACTTATTTTCGATATTACACAATTGAAGAAATCATTAAAATGAGCTAATGGAAGTTACTATGAATGCATCGATAACTTTTGTAATATTTTTTTACTAAAACCAATCTATTTAATAATAAGTGGTTAAAATTAAAATAAACACTAAACAACTATGTTTCAATAGTATTGAATAAACTTACTAACCAAGCACTCCAATCTCTTCATAATGATCAGTAGGATTTACATTTTTGAAAGTGTTGATTTTTAAAGGATAATCAATGGATTCAATTGGATCTGCTAAATAATTTATGCAAATTTTAAGAAAGAAAATGTAATCAGATTAATCTATTATTTGTGTAATATTTTACATACTTAGTTACAAATGATTAAAGAATATGTTTACACTGTGTAATCTTATATATATATGGTTAATGTATGAAATGAAATTTCTAAAAAAAAATAAACCATTTGTGAATATTTTCCACGTTCCTTGTAAGATTCAATAAACTCAATGATTAGAGAAGTTTGAAACCAAACTAAATCAATTCTTGTTGTTTTTCAATGGTTTTCAAGATAAAATCATTGATGAAATCTGTCGTTAACTTGTTAGCTAGCTCGTTGATGAATGAGATCTCTACAATGTTAAACTATATACTTTTTATCAATATAAATTATGTATCATGAAATGAATACCAAACAAAGATGAATTTTACAGCTTTGTAATGTGTCATTTTATTCTATCTTCAATGAGTACTAACATTAGCAAACTAAACCTTCTACTATATGATGTAAGCCAAAAAAGAAATAAACTAAAATACAAAAATTTCATAAGATATATATATATATATATATATATATATATATATATATATATATATATATATATATATTATTCGTTCAAAGATCCCCGTCATATTAAAAGACTAGTATTTGAACAAGTAGTTTTCGTTTCAGTGAACTTTACATTATACTTCAGGAACTCATTGAGCACCTTCAACGCAATGTGTTGTTCACAACATTTTGATCGTTTGAAGATCCCCGTCATATTAAAAGACTAGTATATATATATATATATATATATATATATATATATATATATTTATTTATTTATTTATTTATTTATTTATATATATCCAATTATAACCTAGTCGATAGTATTCAATCAAGACTAAGGGACTGATTGCATGATTTGGTACGGTTAATCAACTTTCTAATATTTAAATGAATAAAATTAAAACTATTAGACGTTTGAAATAGAACAATATACCTAATCAAATACCGATATATATTAGGTAATATACAATTCAAATGAATTAAATGTATAAACATTAAATTAGAAAAATTTTCACACACAATTTCATATAGTTAATATACAGCTTATGAGAATTATTTTTATGCTTATCAATTGAATAGATAATTGCAATATCATATGTTTTAGCATAAACAATTACATTGGAGTACTATTAAATAATGTATGAAATTAGTTAATAGTAAAGTATGGTGAGAAATAAGCACAACTAAAACATTATGGTTAAAAATATATTGTTGATTACAAAACTGATTCAGGAAAATGGATTCATCATTTTGAATCAGTAATTCTTTTATTTTCATTTAAGTGTGTAGATAGTTTTATCATTATTGTAATTTATCAGTGAAACTTACAGATTTGATAACCAATTTAAACTTTAAGATAATCTTTTTTGGTTTCAAGGGGTATTTCCTAGAGTTCAACCGGGTCTGTTGTGAGATAGTAACTCATTGAAGACAGTAGTGGATGTATTGCTCAATTTTGTAGATTAGTTGAAGTTAGATATTAACATCGTTGAATGCCGGCCGGCTCAGTTGTATAGAAGGACAGCGTTTGCGCGCTTGATTGGTAGATCTTGGGTTCGAATATAGCAAGATGGGATTGTGGATGCGCACTGTTGAGGAGTCTCACAATAGGACGAATTGGCCGTCTAGTGCTTCCAGGTTTTTCATGGTTGTCTAGGTTCAACTGACTCATGATCTAAACTACCACAAAACCCCTTCTGATACTAATTTCATTTTAGCTAACCAGATCTTACAGTAAATTTTCGTGTTTTTAACTGACTTTAATTCAGTAATAATAATAATAACAATAATAACAATCACCATTAATATATTCACAAACTTTCATAAATGCTTGTTTTCTGGAATAAAGCTTATTATTGAAAAATTCAAGCGAAAATATCAGTGTCCTCAGCATAGTTTTGTCTTTCACTCTTTAGAGAAATGAGAGACAATCACACTGTGGTTCTTGGATCCATTATATTATGAAATTAATAAGTTGCAGGAAAACCGGTTATGATGAAGTTTTTTGATGGTTAATCACGAACGATATTTAAAGAAAGCATAAATTTGTTACAGTATTTCATATGATTCCCTGGAACATCTATGTTATTATCGAGAAAGTGATATTGAATATGGTTTTCGTATTGGATTAGCATTTCTTGAGAACTCATTAGAGTTTCGAGAGCATTGCATTAGTTTATTTTATTTAAGGACTCCTTACCTGGAGAGATAATAGGATATGACTCAGAACCTATAGGTCTAGTGGCAAATATGATACTTTTATATAATTAAGTTGTAGTCTAATACCTCAATGTTCCAACTGAAATTAATTTGCGATATAAAGTAACTACCATCCACTAACATCGACATCAAAGATCTTGCTTACTTATTTTAATAGCAAAGATAGTTTAAATGGCTAGGAAAAAATCCACATCAGACACATATTGTTATCACATTATTTAACTATGTTGCAAGAACCAATTATTTGATCCAGGTAGATTGTTTGATCACGGTTGATGAAAAACTGAAAAACTAGCCAGCACACTTCCACTATATTGATGTGTCTCATTGGTTGATCACTTCTACACTCAATAATCAACCATATAACCTTCACGTATTTCAGAATGTTTCCACTAAATTTATTTGTTTGAATTTTCGATATATTTACCACTAATAATACTACTATAGCCTCATGTTATCAAATGTGATCTGTACCGTTCAATCATTACGTCAATTATCTTTGACTAAAAGAGTACCAATTTCTGATTTTACATTTTAAGAAGTCCGTTTCAGTTAAACCTCGATAAAAAAAAATAAAATATATGATAAGAAAAAAATCACTTCTTATCCTAAATTTAAGTAAGCTGTTTAAGTGGTTTACAGCGACTCACATGCAAATGAGTTTATTCTCATTTAACTCAGTTAAGCCCTTTTGCTAACTTATTTAGCGGACAAAGTCATCCGCACTATAGCAATTTATTGTAACCTTATTATTTTGTGCTTGTATGAAATACGTATGCTTGAATATTGCTTATTGCCTACACATTTATTCACTCTGCTAGTCTTACTACTAACCCCTTATTTGATTCAATTACTCATTCATTTCACTATATATATATGTCCATGTTATTCATATTCAACACGCACTCACACACTCTCGTCTCGCTCTTGCTCTGGCTCTGGCTTGCTTGCTTGCCTTTCAGCACAACTATTCTATGCTTGTTTAACGCATCTGTACATTTGGATATATGCGTGTGGTCTCGCAATAAACGTAATCAACACTTCGTATTTGCCTTCTGATTAATATACCGTTGGGACGTTATATAGAACGGTTATCAAGACGAACTGTATACGAAGTTAAGGGTTATATCGGATACCGACCACCACAAGTACATTAGAATTATCTTACTATGTTTATAAAAAAATGAACTGCTTTAAAAGGGTCACCTGACAACAAATATTGTCTTCTAATACAAAACTGTATAAATTCTCTTGCTATTTGATCTATAAAAATCAATATAGATCCTCACAACATCATAGTAGTGAAATTAGTGAAGGTATACTTAATTAAGTTTTTAAATTTGAAGAAAAAATATTTCAAGATAATACGCAATCCAATTTCTGATTATTCAATTTTTGATAGTGAACTCTTTGATTGTTATTTTTAAATATATTTCATTGATGTGAATCTTTATAAGCTGCCAGTAACTTGAACAGTTGAGCTAATCGCTTATTATATCATTAGAAACTTTTCTTTCAAGATATCATAGTTTTATTCATTTAGTCTTTTTAGTCTCCTCAGTGTTGCCTTAAATCACAAGCATTATAAGCAGAGAGAGATTCAGGAACATACAGCTGACGAGTGACAAGCAGGACGAAACGCGCGTCCTGGATTTCACTGCTAGCCAGAATCTGTGCCTATAGTTAATTGTTAACATGTTTATTGATGATAGTATTCTGAAGTAGGACTATCAGGGTTTATTTTCACAGTACTGAACAAAAAATAGCCATATATTCACACAAAAAACCAATACTATTCGACAATAATGTTTAAAAGATGCAAGTATAATAATAAAAGTTCCAAATATAAACCATTTATTCAGGAAGTTATTTTGTGTCAATGGATCTACTCTAATTACATTTAGTGAGGTTTAAGAAACTCAACCTTTACTTGGTTATTTTTTATAGTTGTACACACAAGTTTGTTCACGAAAATGTGCTTAAGTTTTAGAAATGTTTTTCTATTAGCAGTAATGTTTTTCTTCACTTTGTTTTATTTTATGCATGTCCATTTTGCCAGGTATAAGATGGATAATAATCAGCAACGTCAGATTTTCAATTAAATTTATTTTAGGAAAACAAGTAGCAAAACGTAACTTACATTTTGGTGTTAGGGAGTTTTCCGCACTAATACATTTCACGTCTGAGTGATCTGAAATACTTTTATTGGAAAGAGAAATCGGTCTGTTAGATGGTTCCACAGGTTTCGGTAACGGAAATTTTGATGGCTTCAATGTATCATCCATCAATGGTGGGTTTTGAGACAAAGGTTTTTGCTGTATAACTCTGTTTTCTGATGTCTCTGTTGGTAATCCAGATGATTTTTCTTCGGGTTTTATCTTTTTTGTATTAGCATAAGCTTCACGTTTGATTATTTTGCTTTGGGTCTCTTTAGGTTCCTCACGTGTATATGCTGAATATTTTTTTAATTGAGGTTTTGATGAACCCATATTTCCGTCAGTAATATTTTGTGTAAAGTGTTTGTCAGTGAATGTTGAGTTCACTGATTTCATAATCCCTATAGTCTGATTATTTGTAAAATTGTGGGTTTTATCATCGTAATGTTTGCTACTACTTTGGTATATCGTAGATTGATGTATAGGTTGTTCCATCTGAACTCCACATTGGTTATTATCTATTTCTAAATTGTTATAGTTTGAGGATGCCAAAGGATGATGTTTTATTCCTGAAGTTTTCTGAAACTGATTGGGTGAGGTTGATACTGCTGCTGCTGATGATGATGATGATGATGACGATGAAGATGACGATGATGTCTTTGAACGCATATTCGTTTTATTTGAATTATTTAAAATTTGATTTGTAATCATTTTATCTACACCAATACTGCTATAAAATGTTTTATCAATCAAATCATCGGGTTTAGTTAAATTTTCATTGTTTAATCGTGGTATACGATTAATTATCTGTTTACTAGGAGATAAAAACGGAGTTTTTGAAGAAATTTGAAATTTTTGCATTAGTTCATATACTTTATTCTGATGAATCTGAACATGTTCCTGAGGACTAGAATGTAAATCATCTTTTATATGATTAGAATTTGTATTATTAATTGTCTGTGAATTACAAATAATACCGCTGCATGAGCTCTGTGCAGTAGTTTCACATTTACTTATCATATCACAATTAGCTTTATTAAAGTTAAAAGTTGTTGTTGATTCATTAAGATTATCATTTAGATAGGTACCGTCACTATTTAAGAACATATTTTCTATATTTGAAGGCTTATGTTGCTCTTTAATATATTTTCTTGATCTTGTCAATCGCTTTACCTTTTCTGGATACTGGTATTGTTCATTTGTTTTTCTTTTACAAGGTTCTGTTAACAGTTCATTTGTGGTAGTCTTTTCAGTTGGAGATATTGATAAATTTTTTTTAATACATTCTGGTGAAGATTTCAACTTTTTGTCAATTAATATTGAACTAATATTTGGACGTCTTTTTATCGGTTCTGTTGGGGGTTGTTCAATTGGTAAATTTTCCAAAGTTTGTGAAATACTTTCTGAAGAACCCTTTATCAATGAATCATTTAACATTTTATTATCATCACGAGAACTAGGTTTTTTTGAAAAGTATATTTTATCAGTTCTTAAATTATTACATATTGATATACTCAAAGAAGATTGTTTCATAGTAGCTTCATTATGAGTGATTCTCGAACATTCATAAACTGATAGGTTTCCTGATTCATCACAATCGGAAATACTGACACTATTTTTTTTTCGTATGTCTGATATATTTTCATTCCTATCATTGGATGACGATGATTTACATATCACTGTTTCATTATCTTTATTGCTATCTAGGACCTGACTTGTTTGTTCTGTACTAATTTGATTTTGATTTGACTGGCAATTCATATCTGTAACCATTGGTTTTATCTGTTCTGAATTATTACTGCTTAGTTTGTTCACGCATTTATCTGAAAATTAATGATAAAATATAAGTTTTTGTTCCTTAAATTTTTCAAATAATACATCATATTCCAAAGGATAACTATTTCAAATATTTGGGTTAGGCTTAGCAGTGAAATACCGAACTCGCATTTAAAACCTTTCTAAACTTGTCTCTTGGATGTATTGACCTGAGTTTTAGCGTTTATACTAAGTCTTAGACTAAGTACATGTCGCTACCTGTTGACCTACTGAAATCAGATTGATACTAACGTGTTCAGCGAATTCAAAAGCAATAGAAAGTGTTCTTAAATCAAAGTTTTTGATATTTAAGTCTACATTTGACCAGTTGCTGTTAGCGTGTATGTATCCTGAATAAAGTTTTGTAACCAAGGAGCACAAAATCAACCATTCTTTCAGCATGTAATTAGTGTCTAGAAGACATTTTCCTTAAAACAGATAAGATAGCTAAAGTGTTAGATATTCCTAGCTGAATATTTTCTTGACTTTACGAGATTTTCATAAGAAAAATTCTGTTTCGTTTCTTTGATATCTGGAGTAAGCACATCTTTTTAAATAGTTTTCATCGTAAATAAGTTTCATCTCAGTCAGTGGTTTAGTATAATTTATTGACTGTACATCAATTGAACTCATACATTCTCAAAGTACCAGCTACTCAATTTGTTGCATTCATAGTTAAGAATATGTTACTTATTTACTAAGATGCAATCTCCTATATAAATCATAAGCTAGCCATAACCTTCTATTGAAGTAAAATTGTATAGTACAGTCAAATATATGATGTATCACGAAGTAAAACAAGTAGTCAAACTGGAAATTAATAATATTACTTTGTAATTTAAATAACGAATGGTTTAAAATATATTTCTCTCTGTCTCTCAAGTATACTACAACAATACGTTAATACAGTAATAAGAAACAGGATTCACGACATAGAACAAAGAACCAAAGTGTAGACTAGATAACACTTTATTCAACACAATTACAGGCAATCACATTCCGTGAGTCCCGAGTAGAAATCAATAAGAGGAAAGGAAATTACATATTTAATAGTCACTAGACTATATGTTCTTTTATTCATGAAAATTCTCCTTGAAATAATTTCATCTATTAAAATTCAAATAATTCCGACTTTTCGTCCAGTAAACTTTTCTGAACTTCATCAAGCTAAGATATTCTCCATACTCGGCGCCCAATTTCTGTCCAACTATTCGTTTTAATATGTGCCTGTTTATTCAGGCTCAATGACCAATCATATTTTATTTTCTTTATCACATATCAGATAGGTAATGTGACATTGTCACACGAGTAGTATAGACTAAAAGAATGATTAAAAACAGTATTTTAAATAAAATACGTTTGACTGACTTTCCATAAAGAAAATAATTGTATATTTTTATAATTTACATATTTGGAAGAAGTTAGATTCCGTGGAATATGATTATGTCACAATTGATTGATCACTGGGTGGTGATCAATGTCATGCGTGTCTCAGTCCTACAGGAGATTAGTCTCAGCTCGGATAGCTCAGTAGTAAAGTCTCCGACAGTGAAGCTGGGTGACACGAGATCGAGTCCGTCAGGGAGCACCAGTTCCCTCAAGATTACGGGTACACCTTGCTGACGAGTGCCAAGTAGCACGAAAGCCGGGTCCAGCGTTTCCCGTTGACTACCTCAAACCACCACCTAAATCTCAATATGATTATGTCCTATTCAAAAAGTCAAATATTGTTGATAAGGCATGAGATGAATCAAATGGGTGACAAAGACATGAATTTCAAGGCCATGATTATGTAGACTATAGATTAAAACATACTATGAAATTTATAGCATCCACTCGAATTGAGTACACTTAAGTTAAAATCAATCGTTTTATCATATTTGTTTATCTTTCGTTAAATAAATTTTCCATGAAAATCATTTGAATTTCCTACCATACAAAAACAATATACTCAATTTACAGTTTACCTCAATTTTTAATCTGTTTAACTAACTAATATTATCATGAGTCAATTGGAGCTAAACCACAATGGAAAACCTGGAAGCACTGGATGGCCGTTTCGTCCTATTGTGAGGTAGTGACTCACTGATGACAATGGTGGATGTGTCGCTCAATTTCTTGGATTAGTTGAAGTTAGACATTAACACCGTTGGATGCCAGCTCAGTAGTCTAGTTGGTTAAGCGCCTGGCGCGAGACCGATAGGTCCTGTGTATTAATCCCGCGAGGCGGAGTCATGGATGCGCGCTGCTGAGGAGTTTCACAATAGGACGAAACGGCTTTCCAGTGCTTCCAGGTTTTCCATGGTGGTCTAGCTTCAATTGACCCACAAAACCCCTTCTGATACTAACATTATCAGGTAGAAATTTTGTTTTAAATTTTAAATATGAACATTTTACTGCTCTAATGTTACTTTCTCATAAAGTTCTCTATTTACAACAATACTACGTACAGAGTTTTAAGAATATAAATCCAAAATACTGTTGCTGTGAACGATAAACTAAACTGATTAAATTCTTTACCTTCCGGACGTTATTTATTCTGATTGTATTTAAAGTTATAACCGTTTTTAATTTATTTTTCTATCGTCGAAGTAGTGTTTGTTAAATTTTGAAGAAAGTTATATATTTCATAAAGTAATATTAGAAATCTAATTAAGTTGAGGTTTTTTGGATCGGACGTAGGCTCTCATTTCTATTCTACCGATCTATCTGTCAAAGCAGTTACGTTGGTAGAACAGAAAGAAGAGCCTACGTCCGATTCAAAGAACATATTCCGAAGAGTTTTAAATTAAATTGAGGTTGTTTTTCAGTTAAACATAATCATAGACGTTGTCCATTTTTCAGTGATCATCTATAGATTGAACATAAATTGTTTGTTGTATAACTTGTTTTATTGCTGAACAACCCGTTTACAATGTTTATACTTGTTTCATAGTACATTTAGATCTATAGTCTATCAATGTAAATAAAATAACACAATTCTTTAAGAATCAAGACAAAACATTCAATTCAATAAGAGTTTATTACAATCAATTTCTTCCTATTAGTTTAAACTCACAGTTTAGATCTTGATCAAATGAAGAATGATAACTTTGTGATGCTTCAACATATTGCATAACAATTTCTTGTACAACATCACTTATAGAGTTTTTCTGACTCTCTTTACTTGATGTATTCCTCATTCTCACTTCAATTAATTTAATATTATTTACTGGATAGAAATCAATATCGTTTAATGATATTTGTGATGATTTTGATTTAGGTGATTGCCAACCAGAGAGTACAACTATATCTGATATTGAGGATCCTGCTGCTGATAGATGATTAACATTTAAGTGATTAGAATTGAAAGGAAATTCATTGACTGACTTCATATTTGATGTAGTAGAACTCTATATAAATTGAAAATTTGATTGATTACTTATTTGGATTGTGTTTTTTTCTCAGTAGATAAAATCAAATCATTTCACATTCAGTGTATGAATGTTCCTTTGATTTCTTCATATAATGCCCACAAATGCCCTGGTATGGCCGAGAGTGGGGACCCAACTTTCATGCTCTCACATGGCGACGTGCATACAACCACTACCAGGGAAGTCCTGTTCACTGCCTTCTCGCGGCGTGGGTGTTGATTACGAAATTGAGAGGACGAAAAGCGAGTGTCCGGCGCTTAAACCAGGTTGGTGGATATGGAGGATCCACCTAGGGGAGTTGGAATATCCTGATTCCAAACCAATGGTGTACATGGGCTCCAGGATCCTAAGGGAATAAATGGGGTGTGAACCAATCGTTGGTCACTGGATACCATTGGAGTGCATCTCCTTAATCTGCTTCACTGCCTTGTGGATAAGACCTTTATGTCAAAGGCTTAGGGTGTGGCTCTCTAAGAAAACCACCTGTTTAGGTTTTGGCACCCGTGCAGTATCTTAGTCCACACACAAATCGAATGATTTATGTGGCGGATGTCTATTTGGTGCCTTCTAGTACTTATGTTTATGTGTTTAAATAAATATAATAAAATAAATAACTTCATATAATGCAACGATAAACGTTTCATTTTTATTATTAAAAGACATGATGACTATTATTTCAGTTGTTAGTTAACAAACATAAAATATGAAATTATTATCACTTATAAAGCGATACACATTATGTCTACTGTATTTCATTATACTTTCACAATAAAGTAACATTCATTGTGTGTATCAAACATATCAGTGAACTGACTGGACTTTTTTATGAAGATCTTTATTCTAAAAAGAAAGCAGTTTGAAATCCCAAATTCAATTTTCACATCATAATTATTACTTTGTTATTTTTACTACTTTTTACCTGATTATTAATATGGAAATTCAAAAGTAAATTTATTAACAAACTATTAAGAAACATCCAGTATTAGGAATTTATGTGTTATACATGAATTACGGGTGTTTAAAACTAGTCTTGACTAATTTACACAGCAGAAAGCAGTTCATACACAAATAACTCTTTAATAACAGAAGATGATAGAAAACAACAGTTGCTTTGGCTGTATAAGATGCAGTTTATGAACTTACAGTAACTACTTTGTAAGAGACTTTTAGACATCTGTATAATAGAGACCTCACAACGGAAAACATTGTTAGAGACAAATGAGTTGGTATTTTGTACATGATACGTCATCACTGACACAATGTTATGTAATGTGGAAAGCTTAAGAATTTATCTACAACTTAGACTTAATTGACTTAAATAAACGATTGATATCTTTTCTTGAAATTAGCTTAAATATAAATCATTGATCACTGACTCGAAGCTTGTAAGGTTATGTGCATAACTAAAAATCGTTTCATACTCACCTTTGACATTCCTGAACTATTTGTTCGCTGAAGGTTAGAGGCACTCCTACAAAAAACGGTTTAATATTAAACTAAATATGTCCATATCTTGTACATAGAAGTTATGAATACTTGTAGATAGCATAAAGTATTACTTAAAAGACGATTTGTTATGCATCAAATCGAACATCGACATGGGGCACTATTGGTTAGTTTAAAGATACTAAAATATGGTATTCTTATACAACATGAACAGAACGCTATCCTAAATTGTGACTAGGACACGTATCCATGAATTCGTGGTGCATTTGCATCTCGATTTCCAATATGTGTAGGGCATCCAGTATTTGTCTTTTGATTTTGTGAATGAATACTGCATGTAAGTTTCACCAGGAATTTCATTCCAAGCCCTGACTTTCAAGTTATTTAATTTGTTCATCTGACAAGTTGCGAGACTCTGAAGTAGCATGTTTACAGAAGATACATTTAGATAGCTTCAGTTGACTAATATGAAGTCTTCAGTGAAAATTACACATTCTTGTGCATTGCTAATACATTAAATAAACAGTTAAATGCTCGAAAATTCTAGATAGTACACACTTATTGACTACTAAAAAACGGATGGTTATCCTTGCAATAGTAGACCAATAGATAAAACACTGTCATTCGAAGCAATTTGAGTGTAATTATCAACACCGAAATGCAAGTGCACTTGTCTAACAAATTCATTGTAGAAGCAGCTACTCTGTATTGACTTCAATGTTATATATATATATATATATATATATATATATATATATATATATATATATATATATATATATATATATATATATATATATATATATATATATATATATATATATATATATATATATATATATATATATATATATATATATATATATACGGCCGTTTAGTCCTAGTATGGGACTCCTCAGCAGTGCGTATCTACGATCCCGCACCCCTCGGGATTCGGACCCAGAACCTACTGGTTCTGCGTGAGACCACTTAACCATTAGACCACTGAACCGGCATCCAACAGTGTTAATGTCTAACTCCAACCAATTCACGAAGTTGCACCACCGTATACCATTGTCTTCAGTGAGCTGATATCTCACAACCGACTTGGTTGAAATGAATCATGATTTCAATCTGTGAAATTTCTAAAACCTCCACAAACCCCTTCTGATATATATTTTAATCCCATTTGACAAAACTCATTCAGAACTGTTATTTATATGAATCTGTGTCAACATATCAGTTAGTAGTTAAATTATATCAGAGTAATATCAACAAGACTTAAGTAAGTAAGAATTTTACTAATTTTGTTTAATTAACCAAATCACCAACTAACTTACAATTTATCTAATTTGTTAATTACAATTTTAGGTAATAATTTCCAATGATCATCATTATTTTTGACTGAACATAATGTATCCGTTGCATATGATTGACGAGTTCTTATTCTAGATTTATGAATATCATTATTATGATTAATAATTTTTCTTTCTTGTTGTTGTTCATCATAGTAGTATTGAAGATAATCTGAAAATTCTAAATTATAAGAAAAGATTTAAATAAAACTTACATTGAAATAATATTACAAATTACCTAAATAGTCATTTGTTAATAAACCGCTAGATCGATAACGTCGTTTACATGTATTTGATTTAGTAATTACATTTTCTAATGGAATATTTTCATCTTTGTATAATGAATTGGAATAATTGATTTTTTGAGAAGGATTATTAATTGATTTGGTAGAATGAGAATAATGGGAATTTATTTGTTCTTTGATTGATAAAATATTTGGGATATTACAGTCAATGTTGTTGTTATTATGATTGTATTTATTAGAGTTTGATAATTGTACAAAGTTATTAGCTTGATTCATATCATAACTGCGTAAATATCGAAATGAATTATATTTCCATCCTTTATTATTTTCTTGATATCTTCTGCTACCAATATGCTTATCATTTAATAGCATGATATTTTCACATTCAGACACAGAGTTGAATTTTAATGACAGATCTTTAATTTTATTTGAAGTGTTATTTTCCTTTCCTTCAGTTAGACATTTTGAATAACATACTGTTCGTCGAAAGCTTATACGCCTTAATGGACTTTGATGTAAAATATGTTGAGATGAATTTTCTAGATCATTAGCTAAACTGAAATCATCATCATGTTCATTGGAATCCTTCTGTACATTATGTAAATTTACACTGTCTTCCATCTTTGGACGGGATAATGTAGGATTTGTTGTCTTTCCATCTTGTTCTTGTGCTTCAATAAAAATGCGTGTATGAGTAGAACATCTACCTTCAGGATTCATTGCGATGCAATCATAGTCTCCATTATCTGACAAATTAGGACAATTAATTCTTAGCTGAGTTGCAGTATCTTGACTAAAAATCTAAGTAAATAAACCGTACACAGAAGTGAGTTTAGTGTAGATTCGTTAATAATCATGTAAAATTATATATTCATATAGGTTAATACAAAATATTTTGACGTTTCTGAATTCTTCCTTTATATCCGTTCACAAATTGTTCTAAATATTCTATAAATCTATAGTTTGGAATTGATCATACAATGACTAAATGAAAGCATCTTGATGAAATGATACATTCAAGAAACATTCATTTTTGATTTTGTGGTTATGTTTGGGTGAACACTTTTATCATTATCTTAATATCTTGTATACAGAAATTATGTAAAAACGCTTGAATCAACATTATATATAAGAATAAAGGCAGTCTATAAAGGTTGATTTTATCTGTTCGTTCAAATACAGAAAATCTAGTAAGCTGCATTTTATGTTTACTGATTTTATTGAGCATAGTGTTATTTATTGAAAAAGAAATTTTGGGATTTTTCTATACTTAAATTAGCATTGCTTTGTCGGATAAATCTATCATTGGTTACGCTTTTTAAATAATAAACCGACCATTTCTCAACTTTTCAATTTCTTGTCAAAAAGGACCCAATATACAAATTGAAGGGAACTAAAGATTATACGAAATAAATATTCTCCTGAAGTATACAAAGTATAAAACCCATTGTGACGGAAATATGTATCTTATGTGTTTGCTCACAAGCTTCAAGAAATTATCAACCAAATAATGTCTCAAATCAATTTATTTTAGTCCTGTTATCAGACATCATGTACAAGCACCTTGTGACTGCAGATAGACTTTTCTCATAAAGTTACACAAAAATAGTAATGCAGTTACAGTAAAATGAAGTGAATTACAAAAACTATCAAATACCAAGTCTAGTTACAATTGATTGATCACTGGGTGGTGATCAATGTCTTGCTTGTCTAGTCCTTATTAGTGCAGATCGAATGCTAATGATCATGTTGCAATGAGGCCACCAGTCTAGGTGACTCGACACTGCGGGCACTATGTATTGAGATTTAGATGGTGGTCGATAGCATTCGATCTGCACTAATAAGGACTAGACAAGCAAGACATTGATCACCACCCAGTGATCAATCAATTGTAATTACATCTCGGTCCTACAAGAGGTTAGTCACGGCTCGGATACCTCAGTGGTAACGTCTCTGACTGTGAAGCTGGAAGACACGAGATCGAATCCGCCAGGGAGCACCAGTTCCCTCAGGATTACAGGTACACCTTGCTGACGAGTGCCAAGTAGCATGAAACCCGGGTCCAGGGTTTCCTGTTGACTACCTCCAACCACCATCTAAAACCAAGTCTAGCTAGCACCTATTAATTCCTGAGAGTCAGAATTTCACATGATAACAATCAGTTTCTCATTTAAATTCATTTTAAAAGTATAAGATGGTTACTAACATAATAAATTGTCAAAATTTACGAAGCATAGTTTAATAAGTCCAGCCATTTTGTCGGATTTTTTTTTTAATTTATGCTTCTTTTTTTATTTTGAAATACTTCCTATAAAAAAAGAATAATTTAGCTTTGAAGGAATACTGATAACCTAAACAAAAAACATTCTATTTAGCTTTACAATGTAAATAACTTAATAACTGACTTGTCATGATGATGAGTATAATTTACAGACAAAATTCATCTTTATTTTATTCACACTATAAAAATACAATTAAATCAATTTGGTAAACTTACATCAATTCTATCATTGGGTTTAATTTCAATTGAATCTTTTTGCCAAATAAATACAACATCTTGTGCAGTTGATTGAACATAACAATATAATAAAATTGGTTCAAATACAAAAATCATTCCATGATTAGATGATATTTCATTATTTCTTATAGGCATTATATGATATTCAGATTGTAATACACCCATAAATTCTGGTGCTTCATTTAAACCACAATGTTTATCACGAAATGCCATAGCTTTCATAGATAATGCTTTAGAGTCTATAGTGTAATTTAAAATATGATGATTTTCATCTTCAATGATATTTGGTGTAGTTGGTAAACTTTTTGTATCTCTAACAAATGGTTTTAAACTCATTTTGAAAGTACGATTAAACCATTGTTTAAATTTGTTTTCATTTGTTCTATTTGTATCCCCCTCCATTCTGTAAATAATGTAACATAATTTTAGAATTTTTTTTGTAAATTTTGCAAATGAAAAAAACAAAAAAACAAACACTAATTGATAGGAAACATCAACGTGAACATGTTGCTTGTAAAATTATCAATGTAATCTAGATGACAGCTGTAATTGTTACTATGAAGCCAGTTATTTGACATTGACAATTTCATAAATTCAAAAAAATAATTCCATATTATTTTTAATATTAAAAACTAAAAGTCTATGCAAATAAACGAATATGTTTGTGAAAAAACGAGTGCATTCTAATGCTAGCCACTATCTATCTATGATTATAAGGCTTATGACTTCAGGTAATATCGAGGCAGTCCGTACAGGATGCACATATGCCAACAAGAGACTGATGAATTGCAGTCCTGAATAACAATGGGAAGATACAAGTAAAACAACCTCAAGTGACTACAATCAGTTTTTAAATAATTGATTCGGTAAATAAATGTTTTAATACTATTTTATTTCTTAAAACTATTAATTTTTAAAGGCAATACACCTGTTAAAAGCACTTTGAATTCACTTATTAGATTTCTGGAATCTCTTTTCGGGATCATTCAAACTAAGCTTGATTAATATCCTTAGCTGAATATTTACTTGTTTCAGTACATGTTAATAATATCCCGAAGGATTTATATAAGTGCTATTATTATGCTTCTGATAATCAACCACTTGTCTAAGCCATGATAATGACTATTGTTGTGTTGTTTAGTGGCCCTATATATTTGACTCCAGTTAAATCGGATAAATGATTGTTATTGAAATACACATGTCGTTTATCCTTGTATATATAATCATGAACTTAACTCGCGTTTGTGAATAACGGACTTAAATAAACCAAATACAAGAATGAATTTTGAATACATGTATTACATGTACTCATTGATTTGAACAGGTAATCAGGAAGACGAAACAAAAATGGGAAGAGCGAAGCAGATCGGAGAAGGCAAGTGAGCCAACTCGAATTAATCAAGCGTTAGTCGATATTTATAATCACACAAAAATACGTTACAGACATGTGATGAGCAAAGTAAGAAATGCACACACTTACAGATACATAAAAACAGTCAAGTTTGATAAGCGAATAACTGACAACGTCAAAGTGTAGCTTGAGTAAAATGGATAAATTGGTTTGTCTAGAAGCTAGACTATTTGAGCTTAACATAGTAACCAACACTACAGTTTTACTCTGCATTTTCTTCCTTTTGTTGGTTGAATTACCTACTTTGTCATCAGAATTTGATGTGCTTCATATCGGAAGGCAAGTTAGATCATTTCTACGTTATGACTTATGGCCCTGTCAATTATCACGCCACATAGTAGCCAGTTAGATTACCGACTTAAATGACATTTTCCCTATACTAAACCGATGATGTGTTATCCATCACTAGTAGCCCTGAGTTATTTATAAAACCTTCTAGTCCTCTGTATAGTAACTTCTTGCCTAACCCAGCCCATTCAGTTCAGACCACAAATATATATATATATATATATATATACAAGCAAACCAAACGTGTCTGTGAGTATGTGATACTGTAGCTAATTAATTAGGGATAAGTTAGGAATGATTAATCGTATAATAGTAGCCAAAAAGTCAAATGTAAGCTTATGATAAAAGGAATATGAATATATACATAATTTAGTTTCGTATTAGTCGTCCAATAAGTATATATGTATTAATAGTCCATAAATAATCCCTAGCAGATACCATTAGTTTATTATTCGTTTGGATTTGACATTCTGCTTAAATCCAGTTTTAAATTGTAAAACTCAATGAAGATAAAAGTCACTTTGACATTAAATTACAAAGCCTTGAATGTCTGAGAAATTATTAATCCTAAAATGTTCTGAAACTAATATAAATAAACTTCAACTGACGAACTGTCTGATGTAACATTACTACAAGTTATGTTAAACCTTATGTCAAGTTCTTTTTCAGATAGAACTGAGACATAAAAAACACAAATCATAAACAAAAGACTCATTAAAGTTTAAAATATTGTATTACAATTCTTCATATAAATGTGGTCATCATCAATCTCGTTGGTTAAAATGCAACAATTTTACACAATGGACTACATTATTGTCTATAACCTAACTTTTAAGTATTCTCAGTGAACAACTAGTTAATATAAACTTGAAATAGTTAATGATATTGAATTACATTTCATCAGTTTAAATCAGATGATAAAATGTTATGAATTTTTGTTTTACATAGATGACTGACACCACTGAATAACCAAGGAACAATGTTCTATTTTGAAAATCTTTAATTTTACCCATCCATAAGCCGATATAGATTCAGAGTGAGACTTCCCAGGTCTTGAGTTTATCAGTAAAGTGAAATCTATTTATCAAAAATTTTCTTCAGTTGTGAAACCTAGAAACTGATATCTAATTTTACAACGGAAATTTACGGCACTTTTGAAACTGGTTGGTCCTTCGGTTGATTGAACCTCATTAGACCATATCTTGCTTACCCAATAGATTAAGGTTAGGGAGAATATTTATCATAATTACTCACTAGATTACTATTAAGTTGAAAAATGTTTTAGGTTTAATTCGTTTTTATTGCTTTTTGACCCCCAACAAAATGCTAAAAATTTCAATACTCTAATAAGATACATGTTTGTTACTGTTGAAACTGTGATTAACAGTCACAGGTCAGGTTTCGAATTCGGGTTTACGGTTACTACTGCATAAAAGATTGTCAGGGATCAGTTCTCTGTTTTGCAGAAGCTTTGGCTATTCGTAAATCCAAACACTCATTGTGTGTACAGAAACAATTTTTCGTCACCTTGAATTTGCCCCGGCAATCCTTAGGTCATTCAATGGACAAGGTTAAATGCAACGATTTCTTATTCTTTCTATAATTTTAACTCTCCTTTATTTATAATTATCACTCTGTCTAATTGAACCTTCATCTAATTGACCTTCATTAATTTCCCTATAAAATGTCTTGACAAGTATATGTGTGACCAGATTGTTTAAAATATATAGCACAAATACATCACATTCTTCAGATCAACTCCATCATCTCATTGTTCTATCTGAATAAATAAGAATGATTGAAATTATAATTACAGTGCGAACGGAATCTATCGCAAACTCTATGAAGTTTCATCTAACATACATACCTTTCGAACGTAATCTTTAATGCTGGAAATCATGAAGGCAGCTGCGCAAAATAAAACTTGATATTAAATAAAGAACAGAACTAAAGTTCAGCAGTCTGATATATAATAGCTAAACACGACCGTCGAACAAATAAGAAAGCAAATCGGTATCAACCGATCAACAAAGAGTAAATGTTGTACATTAACAAGAATTCTAAAAAAATATATTTGAGGTTATCGTTGCAAGAAAGAACAATTCTTAGCAAAAACTAGATAACCTATGATCTTCTTAGCAGTTATAGTCTACTTTTCAGGCTGACATCAGACCATGTTTAATCTCAGATTCAATTTGAAAAAATGTTTACAGAACGTTTATTATTTTACTTCCGTAAAACATATTATATCACATAAAACTAGGCCTAGTTTATTAGTAAAAATAATCTGTATTACGATTTTGCACAATGATTTAATTTAATAAAGTATACATGAAGAATGTTTTACATCAATGAGATATGAGATATCATACTTGCTAAACGAAGTTTTCAAATCAAAGATCTCATTCTGTCAAGCTACTGAAAAAATTATTTTTTACGAATATATATATATATATGGAAAGTGTTGGATATTCAGTTAGATTCACTTAGTATTGTTTACTTGAACCATCCCACTGATGTTTAAGACAGAAATTGATCAGCCTCTCATTGACATATGTGAATACTGAAAGGATTGCTTCGATATTGCCTTAATTCACAAGTAAGCGAAGATGGATGGTGGCTAGCAATGGAATCCAAGTCACTCGTTTTGTTCAATTTGGAACTCGTCAGCTGGATGGATGGGTATAAGGACTCAGTAGCTATGTGGATAACACGATGGGGTTTGATGAGGACGGTACTGTATTCGAGTCCCGGAGTGAACATCAACTCTGAGATGCAGGTACATCCAGTTAGTGAGTCCCAAATAGGACGAAACGTGCTACCTGGATCCCATTACCAGCCGCCATTCATCTTTCCTTGAGGCTTAAGTTAGGAGAAAAATAAAGTTATTTGGTATTTAAAAAGTCTGTTACATGATGTAATATATATTTATGCATGAAGGTTTAACTTGTGGGAAATTATCAACCTATTATTAATCAACTTGACATTCAATCAACTGAACCATAAAACCCAACTTCATATTAAGTCTCATTTCTATTTTTATCGACTGTAACCTTAAGCTAACATCATTCCATTTCATTAACTTCTATGTCAGTAATTCTCTTCAAACACAGATCAACTGAAATTGAATTGAATAAACTTATAAAACTAATGATCATTTTAGAAATTATTTTATCATTTAAGAAAATCATTCAAAGTTCATTCAAACAATTAAATGAAACACGTTATACAAGTACTCTTTAAAAAAATAATTAATAATATACTATAAATAATAGATACGAAAGTATTATCAGTTCACTAAATGGTTTTACTTTATATAATGTAACCCTGACAACTATGATGAACTGACAATGATAATGATTGGTATTTAATATTTGAATTTATTTAATTGTTATTAAACTAACTATTTAATAATCAAAACAAAACAAACAATTAATTAATTTCTTTTTAAAAGATTCAATTCATTTGAATATTCCTTATTTATCTTCATGTTATAATTCAACTTTATATAACATTAGATTGATATCAATGTTTGACATATATAGAATTGTATTAAACAGTTTCTATTACAATGATCTATTAATATTGATAACTTGAATTCAGAGTTTATGTTCATATTTGATTATATAATATGAAAATAACAACTTATGACATATATAGATAAATTAGTATAGTTACATATATGATTATTAGTGCATCATCAT